GGGCCTCCCGGAGCCTGGGCTTCCCCTCCTCCTTGCTGCACCCCCTGAAAGAGGGAGAATCCTTGCTGATCCTTTATTCGGGGAATAGTGGTTCCTTTTTGGTCTCGATGTGGGATGGTATTCCAGCCTCCTGGCAGGTTTTGTGCACCGCCTTTCTTGGAACTAACCTGTTCCTTTGCCTGTCCGCTCTGTAAGGCTGAGGCGTTGTGTTTCCAAAGCACTGTGCGGTTTCGTACCAGCTCATGTGGATGCTGAGAGTGTTCTGCAGTCTTTAATCAATGTTTTCTGTTCTCTCCCTAGGGACTGGCTGCCTGGTAAAAGCAGTGGAGACGGCAGCCCAACGCGAGGCATTCATCGTAGGAAAGCCCAACCGGTACATGTTTGACTGCGTGGCAAGCGAGTTTGACATCGATCCCGCCCGTACCATCATGGTGGGAGATCGGCTGGACACGGACATCCTCATGGGCAATAGCTGCGGCCTCACCACCCTGCTGACGCTGACCGGGGTCACCACGCTGGACGAAGTGAAGGGCCACCAGGAGAGCAGCTGTCCTGCCAGGCAGAGCCTGGTTCCCAATTACTATGTCGATAGCATAGCCGACCTTCTCCCAGCACTGGGGGATTAATAATAGCAAAATGCTTGCAGCCCCTGCAGCGGTACCACAAGGAGAGCCCCTGCTAATCACCTTGTGACAGTAATGTACTCACTAGGATGCCACCTGGAGTTAGCAACCCTTAGCTTTTTAACCTCCCTGTCCTCTTGATATGGTTTTGTTTACATCTTGGTCTTTAAATGCACTTTGAAACAAAGAGGGCATTACGGTGTCACCCAAGTCTTGTGGGCTCGGGGCTTTTTTTTTTAAATTATAAGCAGCACATCTATCCAAATGTTCAATGTCATGTTGTCCTCTAGACTGAGTTGAGGAAAGTAGAGCTGGTTGATCTGAGGAAACGAACCCAACAGCTTGCAGTGTGTCCTCGCCTGGACGGGCCATGGCTCAGTCTGGTTTATTCAGGGAAATGACTCTTGGAGTGTGTAGTAACTTAGCGGCTGTGTTTGGAAACGCTTGTGGTGGCTGGCAGAATTAGCATTTGGCCTTAGGTTGATTTTTTTTTTTCTCCCCTTCTGACGGGGTCCTGTTTAGCAGTACAGCACACTGCAAGCGCGTCGTCAGGTCACAGAAACTGAAATCCGTCTCCTTTATTTGACCATTGCAAATTGCACTTGTGATGCAGATTAGGATGATTCCACTCACAGAACACAAATGGTGTCTTCTTTATACTGTATTTGTCCAAGTGTTGGATGTATGTGTAAAGCACTTGTACATACAAGAACTACCCCGATCCTAAATATATATCAGAATATATTTAAAATATAAATTTAAGTATAGTATATGATAATATATCTTCTTTCCCAGAAGGGAGAATAAGAGGAATGTACTTCACTGATCACAGTAAGTTTAATTCTCCTAAGCGTTTGCATTTGGTAATGCAGAAAGTCTGTACCCACATAGGACTGTCCTTCGCTACTGCTGCTTCCCAGAAATAACTGGATTAGTACCGAGTTAGTTCTTGTACTTCCCTCAGCATCAAAATAGCCGCTTGCCTTGGCTTTAGCTACAGAATTGGAATTAATGCTCAGTCCATGGGGGATGGATGTAGTACACAGTACAGCTTTCCACCGAAATAAGCCTGTGAGAGTATTGGCTGTGTGCAGCAATGGCTCGTGCTTCCTTTAAATAGCTGAGGTTAATATCTTCCACGTGTGTCTGGCGTGGGGGCCTGGCACCAGTTGCTTGTCTGAAGAGGAGTGCTTGCTTGCTCAGGTGATGATTTCATTTTGATCTTCAGGTGGGTTTGGGTGATGCACGGCTCAGGCCATGGGGTAGAGTTTTATGCTGGCCGAATCGAAGGCCGCAGTTGAAAGCTTTTGCATTACAGAATTAAGTGAAAAATTATATATGCAAATAAACACACTTATTCCATAGGTTCCACTATCAGCAGTTAAATTTAAACACTGGCCTTCCTTCATCTCCCGCTGTTCAGCTGAATAGCTCCAGCAGTGTGTCGGTGCCATTTCCTTTCACTCGGCCACTCGAAACGAGTGGACTTGCCACCTTGTTTGTACAGCAATAACCGTGCAGTTCGTATTGTCTTTCAGTGTTACCAGAATATTAGCCGATCTTGTAAAAGGGTGTTCATTTGTAACTCGGAGTTGTGTAAGGAAGCACGGATAATCTCTTCCCTGTTCCTGTCTCCGGCTAGAAGGCTGTGACTGTGTAAAGTCACAGAGAAATACTTACAGGTAGAACTTCCACTTTATCTGGGTAATATGGAAATGGACATTATGGGTTTACTGCAGGTAGGGTCCGAAAACTGTGTTCTTTGATTTGTATCTGGTGCTTATAATTTCAGAACATGTTGAGTAAGGTAGTAAACGCCAGGAGAGGCGTTCAGCCTCCTTCAAGCAGCGCACTGTCCCTGCCGAGTGCTGTTCACTGTACAAGGGGACCATTACCTCGATTCACGTATGCTGAAATGTGCTGGTGAAGGTGTCAATCATGCTTCAAAACTCTGTATCAACTTCCAAATGGTTTTTAAGCCTCTACTTGAATTCACATTAAACTTAACAAACCTGCTTTCCCCTGGTGTTGTCTTGTTTTGTAGTTTCTGCTCTGTGAGCTTTGGTGCAGCTGTACTGTTGCGGAAATTCTGGGATACAGTTTGTGTTTATCATCTTTACTCCTTACATGCAGTATCAGGGAAAGAAATCCAAACCCTGGAGTGTTTCTTTGGTTCAGGCTCCCAGAGCTGTGCAGGGCTCTTGGCATGGGCTGGGATTCTCTTCTCTGAGTAAGAGTACAGCACGGAGCAGAATGCAATAATCCTTTCACAATGTTTTTATAGAGGGTTTTGCTTCGTTCCTGTGCCTTAGATTAGGCAGGGCATAAATTTCTTAAAGTAAGAAGGTGTCTGCTGTGTGGCTGTTAAAATATCTACAGGGAGAACACCCTGTTTGCCTGTTGCAGCTTGTTTTTCAAATTCCTTGTGCTAAGTTTCGCTGCAGCAGAAGCCAGCTAGCACTGCGGGCAGCGCTGCCTGATCTCTAACGCTTCAGTTGGCAGAAGCAGAACTGGTGGTTTGACTATTCCTGTTTCCGCCAGAGCCGCAGCACGGGACGCTGCAGTCTTGCATTCGCGGTTTTGCTGTTTTAAAGGAGTGACTGTGATGGTGGTTTGACTCTCGCTGGCCACAGCCTTCAGGTGTCGGTATGTCCAGAGTTTGAGTTCACATCCCACGGAAGCAGCGTGCTAGAATGAGATGGTGATCTTCTCCTGAAATAGCTCATTTCTGACTTAGAGAAGGAAAGAGGCCGCTGGGGAGGGGGGTTGCTGGTGCTTTGATGACGAGAAACTCCAGGGTGAGCTGCCCTCTTGGCTGAGTTTGGTCAGTCCTGGACTGTGCTTGATAGGAAAATGTCTAAAAGCTGTGTTTTCCCTTGACAGATGCCACGCGAAGGAATTCTGTGGAGCTTTTCCTTGCCTCCATTCAGTTGGTTACATCTGCTGGCAGGTCTCAGGAACACAAAGCTCTCACGGGGGCTCCTGGACTGCTCAGGAAAACCACGGTCTGGCGACGTGGTAACGCTGTTCCCCGCAGGATGTTTCTCATCACCGGGCACGGGTGGTAGCACAAGTGCAGCTCCGGTTGTGGCGATGGCTTCGTAGCAGAGATCCTTTTCCCCGGGATCTGAACGAAGCGAGGTCCGTAGGTGGAACACGAGCGCGTCTGTGCAGCCAAGGCTTGCAGGGCAGCAGCCTGCAGGATAAACAGTTGGCTTCAGCCCACTGGCAGCACGAAGTTCACGTTGAAATGTAGAAATAACTGATGACAAGGGCAGGCTGCCACTTTTCTCTATTCATTGTATCTCTTAATGAGCCTTACCCGGTCCCGCTGTTAAGGCCTGCCAGCAGGGAGGGCCGACACAAAGCCCCCGATTGTCGTCCACCTGCCCCGCTCCGGCCGGCTCCCATTTTTTTAGGCACTGACAGCGTCGCTCGGCAGCCCTGGGTTTTACCCCCCCTTTCCTCCTCCTCTCCCCAGGTGGCAGCTCTAAGGTTTCACCCTCCCCGAAGGTCTGAGTTGAGGAGCTCCTGGCTGGGAAGCCCTTTGGCCGCAAGGGACACGTATTTACGTTTCGCGGATGCACGCTTAGGTTTCCCAGGCGCGCCTGGAGCTGGGATCATGCACAGTCTGGGTGTCGTCAGGAGGCAGAGCTGCGGGAGCGAGGTCCTCATCTGAGGTGGAGGATGGAGGGTAGGAACGGCACCGGCGATGCTGTCTCTGCAGTGAGTATCCTGGTCCCCCAGTTACCGCAGAGAGAGTCCCCGCTCTGTGCTTGCTTGATTCCTCTTTTGAAGGGGCTGAGCTTCTGCTGTCCCCGTGGATCCTGCTAAGATTTTGTGGATCCCCAGCCTCAGCACCCCACGGTTCAGCTCCTTGTAAGGCAGCTGACTCTATCAGCTGGATTTTCTTGTAAGTGCCTGGACTTACACGGCATAAACCGATTGTGTAACAAGGCAGGGCAGGTTAGAGGTGCCAAAGACCCCGGCTTGCACGCTGCAGAGCCGCTCGGGATGCGTGAGCACATGTGAACTGCAGCCTGCCGAGGGACAGGAGTCACTGGATTTCTTTATTTGCACTTTTCCCACCCGAGGGAATTTCATTAGCTATTGAAAGTCTGCCCATTACTGTAGGGCTTGGGCTCTATTGCGTTTGAATTGATAAGATTTCAGCTATGCGCAGTTTTAACTTTGTTAAGACTCGCTGCTTTTCTGGTGGAATATACCTGGAAGTTACGTATTACCGAAAAAGATCAGTAACTGACCCAGAGGCCCGAGGAGCCCGTTCCTTGTGCGGCTGTGGCAAATCCAACCACGCGCATTTATTGAATTTCTCTATGTACTTCAGAAGATTGAGAAACAGATTATTTTTTTAAGTGTGGTTGAAACTCTATTATTGAAAGCACATTCTTTCTGCTTTGTAAAAATGATTTTATGTGCCATTAAGTTAAATTTAATTGTTTCAATATAAGAATTAAAGTGAATTTTAATCGAGCCACTAGAAATGCCACATGACTGCCAACCTCTTTTGCTTCAAGTAACAGCTTGGTCTGCATGAAGAACAACTTATCACGAAAATAAAATACAACCAAATACATGGAGGGGCAAGGAAGCAGGATCACTCCACATGGGGCCTGTTTCAAATGCTGAAGGTTCTCCTGGGGATTTCTGCTATAAACCAAAATAATTTAATTTGCTGCTAAAGTGCAGCAACAGCCCCTGTTTGTGGAAAGCTTCCTGCTCCAGCCCTCCCTCAGCGGGTTTGCTGCTTCCCTGGCTGCAGGAGGAAAGTGGGAGTGCTGGTTACCGGGATGTCGGATCTGAAACTCCATCGCTGGGGGATAAAAGTGACATTATTCCGGGGCTGCTGTGATGTTCTGGCAGTTCTGCATTCAAACCCCAGCAGTTTGCACAGTCATTTGTGTTGTGAGCGGGAAGTGCATTTTATGGTGAAGAATAACCAGCAGAAGGGTTAACTTTGACTCCTGTTCTTTCCTTCTTTTGCCTTGGTTCCCAGGACAGGAGGGCCGCAGCACACTTCACAGCTCCATCCAGGACGTTCTGGATCATCTTGTCCGTTGCCTTGTTTTTTGCAGTTGTTGGCATCAGCGTTGTGGGGGTTCTCAGCTTCTCCCCCAGCTCTGCCCAGGTAAGGGGTCCCGATCCAGGCAGGAAACCTCCTCCTGCCTGCAGCCCTGATTTGTGTCGGAAGCACTTGCCGGGAGGGAGGAACGGGCTGAGATCAGGGCTGGGTTTGGCCGGTTACCCCATCGCGGGCAGCCTGCAGGCAGAGGGGCAGGAAGGTGCCGGCAGCGCTGCAGGCAACGAGCTGAGCAGCGGCTGTCTCACCCCTGCAACGCGCCTGCCAGAAACCAT